CAAATCCAACACTGAGTTTCTGTTTTGTCTCTATACTCTTAGTCATGTGACATGACAGCAGTTAGTGTGAAGAATATTATCTCACTCATTTCCTATGGGAAAACACGGCGCCTTTGTTAGCAAAAAAAACGTCACCATGGTAACTCAGATTTCCAATAAACGTAATAGCACGCATCACTGGGCCGAACTGGTCGCGTTGATATCACTTTTGTGGGGATACACATTGTGGTTCGGGCCGCGTTAAAGTTGAAAGCAAAGTAAGTTCACTGACACTCAGGAGAGTAGAATCAAGACTGCCTGTTTATTAATGTTATTATTAATAATACATATTAGTGTTAATTATTATTAATATTAATAATTATATTAATTATAAATATTAACAATGAATATTAATTATTAATGTTCACAATTGCTTATTTGAATATTAATAATAATCATATTAATGGTTAATATTAATATTAATTGTTGATTATTAATATTAACAATTATTAACATAGTTAATTAATAATTAATGTTAGTTATAATTGTTACTAATAATAATAAGAATAGGTAATAATAGGTGCCTTCCTTGCATGTTGAACCAAAATGGCTCCATACGTTACTCAGTTTCTGTGAAAAGTTTTCTCCTATTCATTTCCTATGGGAAATTTGGCATCTTTGTTAGCAAAATATGTCGCCATGGTAATTGCGAATGCCAATAAAAGTAATTGTACACTTCCCGGAGCCGGGCCGGTCGTTTTGATATAACTTTTGTTGGGGTCTGGGCCAAAAAGTTGAAAAAGATATTGTTCTACACCTGATAAGAGTAAGTGGGCAGTCACCAACTTGTTCCTGGAGTTGGTGAAATATTGCGTCTTTGTTCGCAAATTACGTCGCCATGGTAACTTGAAATGCCAATAAAAGTAATGGCACACATCACGGGGCCGAGCCAGTCGTTTTGATATAACTATCGTCGGAGTAGACATTGTGGTTCGGGCCTCATTAACGGAGATAGAAATGTAGACACTCTTCCAAGGTGTAGAATAATAGATGCCTGCCATGCATGGCAGTCCCCAATAAATGAGCGAGATCAGCAGAATCGTGTTTGGTTGCCAACAAATACGAGTCGTTTGTTTACATTTGAACATTAGCAAGTATTGAACGGTGCTCGTGACTGATACTGAACGAGTAATCCACGGATCGAAGTAAAGTCAGCGGGAGAATGAAGGAATCAAGACAGGAGTTGCCTGGTCAAAAGCAAAAATGTAAGAAGTTGTTCTTTCTTCTTCTAAAAATCAAGCGGTGGAGAGCGTTAAAGCTAAAGTTGACGGTGCAAAAGATCATATGCAGAAGAGCTGTGCAGACATATTCCAAAACTCAGACGGGAGAATTTCCATAACTGTAACAGACCGCTGTATTTATTTGTAAACAAAAACAAGGACTGTTTCCTGTTTTCTACCGCCATATTTTACAAAAACCCTGACGAGTTTGCATTAGATTAATCTCCACACAATCATTTAATGAATTTAATGATATAGGAATTGTGTTAGAATCATACTCTAATTAAAAAGATTTTTTTTAAAACGGTGTAATTTGACAGTTAGGCTCTTGTCTTTTTCAGCCCCTCTCTCTCTCTGTGTTCCTCGTTTACAACCAGTGGAGGTTGATAAATTTAAAGACAAATAGGAGTTTGGAGTAACAGATCATAGTATGCCATCTGGATAGCATGAGCATACAAGCCCCTACAGTGAGATGCTAATGTATGAAAATGAGTCATTTGGGGAGGTGATGTGTTTGTGTGCATGTGTGCACTTTCACACAAACTTCCTGTCTGTTTGGGCACAGACTGCCACCACTTCCCTTTTGATCTGCCGCTCTTTTCTGTCGTCGTGGTAGTTGCACTCTGCTGCAGGCTCGTGCCCAGGCACTTTAGCTTTGACCAAGGTAAGACCTCCAAAACAAAGAGCTTATTGTCATTTAAGGGCCCGCGCTGTGAAAATCTTTTTAAATTGGGGAATTATTTGACGGCAAGAAGACTCGAGTGAATGTGGTTGAGGCAAAGCTGACTAACATGTTGCCAAGGGAGTAAATGAACCCATATTTACATCTGCCAGGTTCTGAGTGCTTTTTAACCTTGCACTTTATAAGATTATTATTGTAAAAATGCTGAAGTTTTCAGAAGCGAGTTTAGAAATCAGAGGCTGTAAGTCTTATTAATATACCATTATAATGACATAACCTTTTACCGGGATGTTTTAAATTAAATTGAAGTTCTGCTTTGACTTGTTTCTTCACACTAAAGAGCTGCATCTCACATGTTCTTGACACTAAGCCGAACTGAGTTAATGTGGAGTCAAATGGATTATTAATCATTAATCATCTTGTATATTTAAAGAAAAGCAACAAAAAAATAAAGAGCATCCTATAAGTAAACACCTATAGGATGAGGTGTTGTACTGTTTAAACCTGACTGGGTGTTGGTGCAGCAGAGTAAAGCTCGTGAGTTGTTTCTGCTGCTTATCTGCTGGAAGAACGCATTATTGACCAATGAGGTTTCACAGCTTAAGTTGACGGTTACGTAATCTTTGCGATGGTTGTGTGGCGGAAAGTTCGCCTTGGTAGACATTTTGTATCGAAGAGACAAAAGCAGCTGAAACAAGTTGATCTCTCCTTCAGTAAGTCTGAAGATTTGTCTCTCTTCAAGTATGCTGGGTCTGTTAAGGTTTGCAGGAATTGTTTGCATCTGTGTGTGTTTTGTACTGTGCTGTATTTAGTTATACTAGTGTGTAATATATCTGCATCAGACCATGGTGTCTGTCCTTTAGACGAGTTTATGTGCCGTACTGGTCGTGTGCTTGAATGCTTTGGTTTTGTTTTCCTGCTGTGTAATCGGATGGATGCAGGATGGATTAGCTGGATTACAGAAGACCAAAGAATTAACCGCAACAGCATCTGTTAGGTATTTAACTGTTAGCGTGTTTACTATGACCGCCGTGTCCATTTTAACCGGCTCGCTGTTGCAGCTTTGATATATTTCACTGTTCTGTGGTAACCGCTTTTAAATACTGCCACTTTTACTCCCTCTGCTGCGTTTGCTGTTGTTACTGCTGCTTAAGCTAATCCTGTGTATTAACTGATTCAAGCGCCTACATTTCAAGAGAAGCAGTGACCACCGTCATTGTTGTATCAATTATGGCAAGTTAAATAGTTCTTTAATGTTGTGATTTTTAGCCTCTCCAACCGCATCATGCATCTCTCTCCCATTTACTCTCACTTTACACACTGCAGTCGTAGTACTGCTACTGATGCTACAACTAGGGCTGAATCGTTTTGGAAAATATTCTAATTGCGATTATTTTTAATTTTTTTTACCTCAACATTGCAATTTAATATGCGGTTATTTTTCAATGTCGTCTTCTCATGTATTTTTCAATGAACACAAGCAATAAATCTGTTTTCAGTTGCAAAACACTCCACTGTTTTCAGCTCCACTGCAACTCTTGTTTCTGCATCTTTGTGTATAGCTTCAGGATAGCAACTTGGCTAAAATGTGTGCGCGAGGGCATTCTGTACCGCTCATCCATTGTGTTTACCAAAGCTTTAAACCCAGGCCTGGGCACTATATTAATGGGCATCATGTCTTTCGCTATGAACTCCCATTATTGTTCAAGTTATTTCCCCGTGCCATTTAGAATTATGTTCATACAGAGTAATACCTTCGGACAGTTCGGTCAGTGATCCCTGTTGGCTGGTAGTTTGCTAACTTTAAGGTGAAGCACTGGTCGTTGGCATTCTAGCTATGATAGCTGGATGAATGGGTAACTGAGGGCACAGATTGTAGTGTAAAGTGCTTTGAGTATCTTGATAAGATAAAAAGGCGCTACATAAGTACAGACCATTTATCGTTTCATTTATTTAATGAAGGAAACCATGTTTTTACATATGGGGTTAGCAAATGGGTTCTGTTTTATTTTCAGAGGTCAATTAAAACAATTTGAATTAGAATTTCAGTTAGATATTCCTTTTTATAACTATAACTAAGAAAGTGCATAGATTTGAAACTTTGAATCACTTATTAATTTGAACAAATTATAGGAAACTGCCAGTGTTTTTACCAGTGACCCGAAAAGGAAGAAGCGGGTAAAGATAATGGATGATTTTTAAATGAACTAGTGACATCCAAAGGCCAGATGTACAGATTGGAAGCATCTGATTGGCTCCTGCTCTTCTTCAAGCATGAAATGGAATGAAATATAGTTGTAGCTACTGAAAACATGGAAAACTCTGCAAAACCACTGTTTGGTTTGTTCATTCATTCAACCTTTATTTAGACAGGTTAATCCCATTGTGCCTCGAGGCCTCATTTACAAGAGACCTGATTTGGTTTGTTCATACTCAGCTGACACAAGAGAACCAGCTTTGTCAAAAGCTTTCCGTTTTTTTTTTTTTTTTTTAAATACAAACTTTAAAAAAAATAAAACATTCTAATTTTGATGTAATTCAGCACAGACAAAAAGTTGGATATGTAGAATACATTGCATTGTGGGTAATAAATATCCCTATGAATGTTGCACTTGAGGCAAATGTATTATCTCTGTTAATATCTACATCTGAAAGTGTATGTTTCACTTGAACCTTTCTGGTTTTTGTTGTCCAGTTATCTTCTGACCAGTCATGTTTGAGAAGGCTTTGGCTGCTTGCAACATAAGCAGGGGGCGTGGAGCTAAAACACCACATTAGCTTCAGAGATTCCTAAAAAGAAATCTTGTAAAAAGCAGATATTTTTAAAGAAAGTATGATTTTTCTGTTTTTTTCTTTTACTAAAAATGAAAAAAAATATCGTCTTTGTAACTTAATAAAGTTAGAAATTACTCTAAAAGGAACAAAACTCTTCTTGAGTCTAACCTGTATAAATAAAGGTTGAATTGAAAAAAACAAATCAGAAACAATATGTTTTTTTTTTTAAATAATGACAATAATACATCTTGTCCATCTTTTTCCCGCTTTGTTGCATTTCAGTCATGTCTCGTAGAAGTTCTCGCCTGGTGTCCGGTGGTTATTATAATTCAGATGAAGAATCTGACTCGAGCAGCGTGACAAACATTTCCTACAGAGAAAACCCTGTCAAGTAAGTAACTCTGTATTTGTGTGTAAAAAGTTAAGATTCTGGTCAACAAATCCACTTGACAACTTCATTCACAGAAGTTTTGTCTTTTTTCTGATGCTTTTTTTTTTGTTCTTTAGGGTTTTCAAGAAGTTGGGAGCTCGGAAGTCCAGTAAAGCCAAAAGCAATGCTAGTTACGTTTCCTCAGAGACACCTGTCACTGCAGGCCAGTATGACCTCAGCATCCAGACACACACACACACACAAAAATAAAAAATAGAACAACAGCAGAACCAACACTGGACCTCATCCTATCCTGCATGTTTTAGAAGTTTCTCTGCTTCAAAGCACCTGATTTGAATAAATGGTTTAACAAGCTTCTGCAGAACTTGCACAGGTGATTCAACTATTGAATCAGGCGTGCTGGAGCAGGGAAGCAAGTAAAACATGCAGGATGGGGTCCCTCAAGGACCAGAACTGGACACCCCTGATATTCTTAAGACTTTTCATTTCTACTGTTACATGTTTCTGGGCTTTAGCAAGAAGTGGGAAGAAGTAGAACAAACTGTTCATAAAAATGGTGTATGGAAAGTGCAGTCTGAAAGAAGTGCACGTTAGCATTGTATACTTTTGCTTGTGAACCCATGTGATAGTGTACACAAAAAGACTACTTTTTTTTTTGCAATTTAAATTGAAGTAATTTTGAAAATTTAGATACTGTATTAAATGTAAATTGCGTATTTCCTTATTAATAAACAAATTAAATTAAAATCTATATTCATGAGCTGTTTGCCCATGCAGTATAAGCTTTTGATGAGTAAACAAAGTTAGTCCTTACACTATATAGTTATATATTTTTGCTCATCTCTGATGTGCCCGACAGATGTGAGTCTGACAAGTAGCCCCTTGAGCAGTCCGACTCAGCCAACCATGAGGACTGTACCTTACACCCCTACTGTGGCCACACCTCGGCCGGCCCTGGCTCCATCATCCTCCCGTGGTCAGACACCCACACGAAGCTCCTCAGTTGCCCCGGAACAGAGCCGTCACGCCGGCCTCTGCAGCTCCAGTGCGCCGGCTTTACACTGCAGAGCCAACCACAAGGAGCTGAGCCAAAGTGGCGTGGACAGCTCGGGGTACTCCTCATCTGAAGGCACCTACAGGAAGCCGTTACCTGTCACCAGTAAAACCAGCAGAATCAGCAGCAGCAGTGGGACTCCCAGTCCTGGATACAGAAGCAGAATCAGGAGTGCCTTATATAGTCTGATGGGTGAGCACTTTGTCTTCGTTATCATGCATCTGCCTTTGTGCTGTGAGTAAATAAGCTGTTTGTTTGTTTGTTTGTTTTGGGCAGATTCAGCTTCTGTAATAGCCGCTGTAGTACAATCAAAAATGCTTCATCTGAGAGCTTCAGGTATGTTATCTGTATCTGTAACAAGTTCAAATCTGCACGTTTGAATAGTTTAAACCTCTTGGGCAAATGTTTTCCAGTGACATTTTCACATTTGTCAACATGTAACATGTGACTGAGTAGTACTCTATCTCTATAATCACCTCATGTGAGATTTGGCTCTGGCTTGTCAAAATTCCTGCAAACAAACGTTATTTTTCTTTCTTGCAGCTAATAACTCACTCAGTAATGGGGTGAAGAAGGCGTGTGTTCTGGTTCTCCTCCTCCTCTTCATACTTCTATGTAAGTAACATTAATATCGTAACATTTTCAAGCTTGCATGCTGCCTGGTGAATGTTTCAGACACATTTTCAATGATTTTTCTCTACTCATATTTACACGTGTTTGATTTTACAGTGAAGTAGTGCACGCCTTTTTTTGCACTGTGCACACTGTTTGAGTCTGTGAGTGAGCATGTTGTGTCCTTTGATCCTGGAGTTAAGTGATGTTACTTTGTGTGCTTTCTCTAAGGCGTTGTCCCTCCTGTGTCTTCCAGGTATTTGGCTGCTCCTTCCTTTGTTCACCTTATTCATCACAAATACCCCATCACAGACAAAACCCAATGGTCAACCAGTTATCCCCACCAGTCTTTCTCCTCCACCCATCCTACACACACCTGTGGTGGTACGACTGTGTGTTACTCACTGTGTGTCTTTGTTGGTTTAATTGTTTGGCACAGATGGATCATTTCTATAGATTAATGCCTAATGTAAAGGTATCTACTGTAGATTATCTGCAGAATGTAACCACACCACTAGAGAAATTGCATTTCCTGCGAAAATGCAGTGTGAATGCTTATTGCAGAAGAACTTGCTGAAAAACAGCTGAAATTAGCTAAAAAAAAATGCTGAAACATAGCTGAAAATGTAGAAGAAGTGTAAATCAGCAAAGAAAGCAGAAAGAACACAAAAGTTGAAATGAATGCAAAACATCTGGAATTAGCTGAAAAAGCTAATATTAGCATAAAACAGCTAAATGGTAGCTGAAATAACTGACGCTAACAGAAATAAACTGAAAGGAGCATAACAAGTTGAAATTAGGATAAATAAGTTAATTAGGCTGAAAGTAGCAGAAATTATCACCAAAAACTTGGAATTTATCAGAAAACAGCTGAAATTAGTTAAAATCTGCTAAAAAAAAAAAATTAAGCTAGCTGAACAGGTAGAACAGCTTAAATTAACCGAATAAAGCAGAATGAACATATTTGCCTAATTAGGCTGAAAAAAGCAGAAATAAGCACAAAAACGTGGAAATTACCTGGAAAAAAAGCTGAAATTAGCATAAAAATAGCTGAAAATTAGCAATAAAAGCATAAAAAAGCTTAAATTGCTAGAACGTAATGGAGAGAGCGCATTTTTCCTGAATTAGGCTGATAAAAATTGAAAGGAGTGCAAGGAAAAGTGGAATTAGCTGAAAAATCTCAAATTAGCCTAAAACAGCTACATAGTAGCTGAAATAGCAGAAAAAGCTGAAACTTGCAGACAGAAGCTGAAAGGAGCAGAAAGAAGTTAGCAGAAGCACAAAAATGTTGTAGTTTGCATAAAGATCCTGAAAGGAGCACAAAACAGCTGAAAATACAGCTGAAATTATCTGAAGGAGCTGGAAAAAAGTTAAAATTTGCACAAGGAAGATGAAAAAAGCTGAACCACAACAACAACAAAAAGAAAGAAGTGAAAGGAGCAGGAAAAGGTTGTAAACAGATCTAAAGATTTGAAAGATTTAAAATGAGCTCAATTAATTTTCTATGAGAAAACAAATGTAAAAAAAGGCTAAATATATATATAAAAAAAAAAACCTAAAGTTGCACCAATACCAAAGTCATAGCAGGATTGTCCTGAAAGAGCTGAAAGTTTTGATTTATGATTTGCTGAAATAGCAGAAAAAAACTGTGAAACAAGAAAGATGCTGAAAAACGTACTGAAGAAAAATGGATCACAATAGTGTGAATGCTTCATAAACATTCACACAATAAATGTTGTATTTTCACTGAAGAATAGTTGCACCAAAGGTTTTAAAACTTCAGCAAACATTAGCAGTGTCTGAGTATACGTAAGCAGTAACAAGCACAAGTTATTATAAAGAGTTTCTTTTTTTAGGACTTTGTTTCAGACTCTGTGGATCCTTCTCTTAAAGAGTAAAATGCATCATTTAAAGGATCTTAAACTTGTGTAGTGAATAAACAACACTATTTTAAGGAACACTCAGCATTAAGTTGAAGCATAAATAGATAATAAAAGTTATATTTATAAATAATTCCCTTTATTTTAGCTGTGCTCACTTAACAGTCTGTCTTTCTGGTAACTTTTATTGTATTAAAAATGATTTTGTTTTATTTAGGATCCTGCTGTCATTTCTGCTGCTGTAGAAGCAAAGATACAACATTTTCTGGTAAGACAAAGGCAACTTATCTGTAAAATAAATATAAAAACAGCATGTTTGATTGTAAATTGTTTTTTTTTATTTAATTGCCCATGTTGCATTGTAAATAAATAAAATTGCAGCTTAACTGTATTATGGGATCTTTTCAGATGGACTTTCTGATTTGGCGCTTCAAAATTTAAAGACCACTTTTACAAATTTTGGTGTAAACCTTAATGAAATGTTTGAGAAGGTTTCTAAGTTGTTTCAAAAGTTGTTGTTTTTAAGTGTCACCTAAATATACATGTGATTGTTACAGGTGGAGCTTCAGCTTAAGCAGCAGCACCTTCTCTCTCAGGTGAGAAAATAGTTTTGGCCACTTCTTTTCCTTCCACATAAAAATATCCAGGCCTTTTAAAGTGAGAAGAAGATTTAAGGTACAGTTTGTATAAAATGGTCTGAATTTTTGTATTTTATTATGTGAGATGGGAAAAGCATTTATTGTCCATTTGCCAATAAGCCACCATGATGAATGCAGATATAACAACATGTAAATTCATTTACAATAGCAATTAGATGGAAAAAGAACCAAATACATTTTACTCCATCAACTAATCGCCCAAAATCAGTTCTATAACAAGAGTATATTGAATATGATCTAAAAATCATCATTGTGTATAACTGCTTTTTAATATCTACTTCTTATAGCTGTCCTCTGGTTATTGAACTCTAATATTTATTAATATTTTTTGTTGAGGGGTGTCAGAATGAGAATCCATGTTTAGGCTGCAGTTCCTCTTGACTGCAGCATCATCTGGTGTTGCTAAAGTGAAACTGCAGCGTAGGATCGTTTCTAATCGACTCCCATTTGGAAGGGAAGTCCGAGATTGTCATCATCGTATGTTCCCATACAATGGTGAAATTAGTTCTCTGCATTTAACCCATTGCACCTGGGATACACCCAGGTGGAGCAGTGGGCAGCTATGTAAGCGCCCGGGCAGCAATTGGGGATTAGGTGTCCTGCTCAGAGACACCACAACATGTGGGAATGGCTGGGAGTCGAACCGCGACTTTCTGGTCCGGGGTCGGCTGCCCTACCTCTACCCCACCAACGAAACTTGCACTTATGGGGACTGGGCTTTGGTCCCCACAAGCAGCAGATAGTCCTCACAATATGTGTTGGAAAAATGAGCCTTACAAAGTAATTTAAGCAAACACACACGCACACATGCATGCAGGCAGATTAGACAGACAGATAGATGTACAGATGCTCTTCTTGCAGCCTCAGCAGACGTTCACTAAAGTCAAATGTCTTGTTCTTTCAGATGAACGAGAGACACGAGCTGAACATGCAGGTTATGAGAGCCAAGCTTGAGGCAGTGGAGTCAGACATTCGGCACCATCTGGAGCAGGAGGTTTCTGGGCTGGACAAACAGATAGCAGAATACCAGACAGACAGCCGCTTGGCTGCTGCAGGTCTCAACCTCAAAATCCAAACTTTAGAGGCCCAGAACGTCAAGGTAACTGTGACGATGTAAACATGTAAACAAACAAGGTTTCTGCAATACTTTAATCCCAACACCGTGAAACTTTTGAGTCCTGCTTCTGCACAGTGCATGGTATTCTTATGAATATCTCATGTCTCACAGCTGTCCCAGGATTTGTCATCCATCCAGCACATGCCTCCTCCGACCTCCTGTCCTGACATCAGCACGGCCCCAGTCAAAAATCATCTCACACCGGAGCTCCAACAGGCTATGGAAAAATGGCTCTCTGACCACATCAAGGTTGTAAATGTAGCTGTTTTTTTCCTCCGTTAGATATTTATGAGTATCGTTGTACTTTTGTGTTGTGCTTACATCACGTTTGTGAATCAGGAGCAGGATGCGATCAGGCTGGCTGACAAAGGAATCTGCACAAAGTGTGAGCGTCCCATGGCTGATAAAATGGCTGACTTTGCTCTGGAGACTCAAGGTCAGAAATATTAGGATAAACATTTATTTAGGCCTGCAACTAATGAATTTAATTTGCATGTACTTTGTTGTTCTTATGGACATCAAAACCAGCGTTTTCCAACATACGTTTTTGTTTGCTGAATGCATTTCTCCACTGGTTTGTCTTTTTTTCTTGTTAACAGTAAACGGTTAATTGTCTTGTTAATTTAAAGCATATGACATTTGTTTTGTGAAAGGTTAATTTAACTTCAACACAGTCATACATAGTTTTCTATGCATTGTTTGTCTGTTTTAGGTGCCAGTGTTGTCAGCACCAGGTGTTCAGAGACATATCGTATACGTTCAGCATGCGTGACCATATTTGGTTTTCCTCTTTGGTATCCATCTGAAAGCCCCCGCACTGTCATCCAGGTACATCCCTCTGTTTCAGATTAGCAGGTAAAGATGAGCCGGCTCAGTTTTCCTAACTATAGGCCCTTTCTGTCTCCTTCCCTAACAGGGTTACCCTGTCCTGCTGCCAGGAAAATGTTGGGCGTTCCACGGTGTCCAGGGCACGCTTGTCATCTCTCTCTCACACCCCATCAGGGTAACTCATGTGACTCTGGACCACTTGCCTCGCTACAACTCCCCCACCGGCCGCATCGACTCTGCACCCAAAGACTTTGAAGTCTATGTGAGTGCTCGTGGGCTGGTTTTGAACAGCATCCCATGTGGTTTTGTGCAATAAATGTTAGCTTTTTTTATTTATTTTTTTTTTATTTTAAGTACTAATACAGTAGTCCCTCGATTATCGTGGGGTTACGTTCCACACACCACCGCGTTAGGTGAAAAACCGCTCGGTAGCAACGCTATATTTGTTTTAATCAGAATCAAAATAAGCTTTATTATCATTGCACCGAGATACAACGAGAACATGTGCATGCAGTCGTCCGAAAGATGGGCGGAGTGCATGAAGCTGCTACTATGGAAGCGCGGCCCTATTAATTAGTATTTAATAGTATTTATATGTATTTATATATATATTAAAGCTTTATAAACCCTTCCCACACTCTTGCAATGTTCAAAACTCTTAAACCTATGTCATTTTAACAACATACGTATATGTACTGTACAGTACTGCAAAATTTTACTCACCAGCTCTGCAGGCCAGCAGCTCGGTTCCGGTCGGGTTCGGTTCTGGTTCGACAGACTTACCCTAAAGCGACAAAGCCCACCGCCCCGTCCAGGTTGATGTGCGCGTGGATAATTGAGCTTCAGGATTATTTGTGACTTTCCTGCCAGTTCTGTGAGCTTAATAGATAAATCGTTACTTCTGACTTTGAGTTGCAAAACTTTCCCTCCATTTCAGCAGAAAGTAGCAGCCGGAAGCACTATTGGCTTCTGGGTAGTGTAGTTCTTTTGACTGGCCTTACAGTATAGGCTTGTTGAAAGAAAGTACAAAATGGCGGCGCCTGTCCAAAGTATGTTGTCTTTTTTTATTAAATTTTTATCCCATACCGTCCCAGTGAGTAATATTAAAGATGACAAACGATGAAAAACCGTGAAAGAGCGAGTCTACAAAAGTCCAACCACGAAGTAACGAGGGACTACTGTATTAATCAAAATCACATCTGTAGGAGGAGGGGTTAATTATCATAAATCCTCGTTTATGAATTTTATTCTGAAGGGGCACCACTCTCAAAGATTTGAGAGAAAACATCGTCTGTAGATATAACTACACATCAAAATTATATTTTTACTATGTTTATTTTAAAAATCTAATATGAAGTCAAAACATAAGTGAACTTTTCCAGATGTTGTCCTGCCTGACAGTTTTGGCTTACATGGGTGAAATGCTATGTGTTGGTTTGATACATGTTTAATTTAATAGGACTTTATATGTGCCTTGATTTGCATCAGGTTTGCTGCTTTTTGTAAAACATTGATTTTAATGGAAGGGATAAAAGCATTAACTTCCATTGTAAGAATAAAGGTTAAAAATAAACACAAACATTGGGATTGAAAGTCACTTGGAGCAGCTGTCTGGAAGCCGGCAGTTGTAAACTTTGCCGCACTTGTTTTGTTTTTAAGGGGATGAAAAATGACACAGAAGAAGGAACGCTCCTTGGGACGTTCACCTACGATGAAAACGGAGAGTCAACTCAGACTTTTGAGCTGCTTGTAAGTTTTAACTGCTCTACCTAAACTATAAATGCAAGTTTTATTGACTTAATAAGACAACTTCTCTGTATGAAAATTGTTAAGTTGCTTTTATAAAGTTTTAAAAGTCACCATGCAGTGATTTAATATTTATCTCTTTTTTTGTGCTCTTCGTTTGTTTTCCCTTTCTTCCTCTGCTGCTGTCCACTCTCCTGCAGAAGCCGAGCGACACGGTTTATCGGTTCGTTGAGCTGCGAGTTCTCAGTAACTGGGGTCACATCGAATATACATGTCTTTACCGCTTCCGCGTTCATGGGAAGATCGCCTCGACATGAGTGTCTTTCACATTTAATGTCTGCTTAAGAACAAAAATAACTTCAATGTTACGATAGGTGACGCATTCAGGATCAGTTGCTACTGACATTTGTTACTTCTGTGACACAGTTACAAAGAATGTTCTGAAACTGGTTTTGCTAAAGCAATAGTAAAATGACAAATATTATAAGAGCCTTTTGTGCAGTGCACATATGGATTTTAATAATTGCAGAGAAAAATATAAAAATGTATCTGAAAACCAAAAACCAATCAAGTTTAATCATTTTGAAGTGTGACTTTCAGGGAACTTTGCTTTCAATCTTGAGTGTGCCACTTATATATATATATATATATATATATATATATATATATATATACATAAAATCGTTGCCTTTTCAGAAGTACTTTTGACAAGTGGATGAAGAAATTCATATTTACTACTTTTATCTTGGCTTCTAGGTTTTAACATAACTAATTGTTAAAGTACCTTTAAAATTAATTTTAAAAAAAAATGAAGTTATTTAAAAAGTTATAAAGATGAATTATGTTACCAACATGTTCTGTTCCTCTTTGGAGACTAAGTAAATGGCCAAAAGGGTCTATTTAAAAATAATTTTGTCAAGTTATGAGTGATGTTATTCTTTTTGACGCATCCATTTTCTTGATATCATGCACCACCTCTCTGAGCAACATGTAGGAATTTTATAGAAGGCAGCAGTGAATGATTTTGTGTCAGTATTGTTTTTATTCTAAACTTAAATTTGATATGCCATAATACTCCTGTAAGAGGTAAAATATGCAGTTTTGTGTGTTCATATATATATATATATATATATATATATATATATATATATATATATACAGTGTTTCCCCTAGTTAACTTGCCATGGCGGGGTGCTCATCTCATTCATGATTTTTGTTGACGGGGGGACAAAGACATGTCTGAGCGCAGCTTGTATCAACAGTTTTTGAGTGGGGGAGACATTCAGCATGAAGGAAGAGGTGCCTTTAGCTTTTTAGCTAGAGCGTCTGTATTGCGCGCTGCTAGCTTAGCAAGACACGTTTGAGCTGTGCTCTGTTTAAACAGACTGTTTTTGAATATGTGTGTGTGTAGGATGTTCAGCTTGAGAGAAGAGGCAACGCGAGCGCTGCCTTTAGCTTTTTAGCTAGAGAGCCCGTATTACGCACCGCTAGCTTAGTGCTATGTGGGGGCGGGGGGGGGGGGGGGGGGCAAGTTCAGTTTGGTAGGTGGGGTGCTCAGTTCTGTTGACGGAGTGGGACACCCCGCTTGTATAATGGTAGGGTAAACACTGATAT